ATTCATACCAGAACACAAGGGGAAGTTTCCAGAAGTAACCGTGGTGTCAGTGGGACGGCAGTAGAGAGTGCCACAGGCCACCGCACCAGAGAGAAGGGGGGGTGAAGCCTCACAGACATGAAGTCACAGTGCTCGGCATTGCTGGGCTTTTTTTCCCCCACTGTATTATATTTTTGGCATTTTGTAGCTGAGGCACTGCCCTGCCTGGAGCTCAGGTAGCCCAGGGTGAAGTGCAGTAACTCTTGGCAGTGCTAGTGAATAGCAGCTTCCAGTGAAGTTATGCCACGGAGAACACCCATGAGGATGAGGGCCCGAGCTGAGACACGGACCATCGCTCCAGCAGCATTCCACTTGCTTCTCTCTGAGGGAGCACGCTTCTGCCTGCTTTCGCGGTGCCTTTGAGTGATGGGACAGAGCTGTGCAATGATCATTTTTCCTGTTTTTATCATACTGCTTTGCAATGTACCTGGCCACTGCTAAAGATATCCGAAAAGATAATTGTCTTTTGTGCTCTGTAACGTAATCTAGAAACAAAATATGTAATGACATGATCCAGATAAATGGCACTTTCAGTATATTCAGTGATGCAGATAAACACTGAACGTTGCTGCTTTCTACCCTGCCTCTGTGTTGCCACATGGAAGCTTTCTAACAGGAGCTGCGGTACCCTTTGGAATGAAAAAGTCCATAGGAGTGGTGCAGTAAAATGTGGTGACTGCACAACTCAGGCGCTTTAGTAAGTTTCCGTATTCTGGCTTAGTGCGTTTTCTCATTTGCTTCACTGCACTCTCAGTACAGACAATTTCTTACAGTTTATGACTTACAACTCCAGATTATGCTGCTATGTTTGAGACCCAGTAACACAGTTCTAGGCTGAGAGGTTTGCTTTGTTTTTTTTTTGTTCAATTTTTCTTCCTGCCTTTGTTTCACTTACCTCGCTCTTCACAAGGAGACAAACATACCCCCAGATTTTGTTCTCAAAGGTGAATTTTACATTAGAAACAGCTCTACTATGAAAAATTCCAATTTAAATGTTTTCTTAAAAATGCAAGTGCATAATTTGCCTAGTGAATTGCATGCAACACAAATAACCAAAGCTAGTTAAATATAAGCCCCAAAAAATGTGATGGAATGGAAGCTGCCCTTTGAAAATGTCATATTAATAATCTGTATGATAGTAAGGTAGTATGACTAGTATACATGGGAAATGTATGTTAGAAAATGTGGTTTTTAAGATGTGGCCAGATTACTCAGTGTAGATTTGCATTTCTCCTTTGAAATTCCTAAGTAGGTCTTAAAGTCATATAGAGAAGTCAAACAAGAAATCAAGTATTGACTTTCATCCTTTATTTCTATTTCATGTATAATACCATCACTGCTAAAGTACTGAGGACCACCACTGCGGAAAAACTCACTTAAGTAGCTTTATGCAGGGGCAGTTCCCTTCCAGCAACGCATTTTGCTGCATTTCAATTCGACTGTGTCAGAACAGGCCCTACTTTATTGATCTGGAGAAAATAGGTGCTACACATCATCCATGTATTTTGGCTCTATGCTTACTTGAGGATTAGAACTGTAAAAGAATTTCATCTTTTTCTTGATGGTCTTTTTCCTTTCATTGTTTGAGCAATATTCGAACATTTAAAACCCCTCAGTTAAGAAAAAGACCTGACCATACTGATTTTGGTAATGGTCAAACTCTGCAGGTCAAAACGATGTTTAATATTCTGTCAATTCAAAATTCAGAAGTAATTTTCTGCTTTAGATCAGAAAGTCTTCTGATGTTTGGAATACCGACAGCCCTTTTATCATCTGTTTTGAGCACAGCATTTGGGAGGGTACCGGGCAATGTGAATTAAGCTGGAAGTATAGTGCATACAGGTTTTGACATGACTGGAATGTCAGGGTCAAATACATCAACAAATACAGTGCCCTTTTATTGCTCTGTTAGTCTGGAATGACCAATTTAGGATAATTGGATCTAATTTCCAAACAAATGATTCAGCATAGATTTAGTTTGACTTTATGTCAAGAAGGGTGATGCTTAACCTAGTATCTTGCTATCCACACTGCTTCATTTTGTCAGCTCATGACAGAGGGAAATCCCTTGTTCACTGAGCATGAATTATACTTGTAAACTATGTTTTAAGCAGAAAAGGTGAAAATCTAGTCCCTCATCCACAGGAACTATGGGTTTTGGAACAGGAACTTTGTTTTCAAAGTTAGTAGCAAAACTAAGTGAAATGATAGCAGGATAGCATTCATGCTTAACAAATAAATACTAATATGAACCTTTTATAGGTTAAGGCCACCATCAGCTATTTATCGTCATAGAATCATCATAGCATGGTTTAGGTTGGAAGTGACCTTAAAGATCATGTAGTTCCACCCCTCTGCCACGGGCAGGGACACCTTCCATTAGACCAGGTTGCTCAAAGCCCCACCCAACCTGGCCTTGAACACTTCCAGGGATGTAGGCCTCCACAGCTTCCCTGGGCAACCTGTTCCAGTGCCTCACCACCCTCAGAGTGAATTTCTTTTTCCTAATATCTATTCTAAATCTACCCTCTTCCAGTTTGAAGCCATTACCCCTTGTCTTACCACTACATGCCCTTGTAAGAAGTCCCTCTCCAGCCTTCTTGTAGGCCCCCTTCAGATACTGGAAGGATGCTATAAGGCCTCCCTGGAGTCTTGTCTTCTCTTCTCCAGAACGAACAACCCCAACTCTCTCAGCCTGTCTTCATAGGAGAGGTGCTCCAGCCCTCTGATCATCTTCATGCCCCTCCTCTGAACCCACTCCAACAGGTCGATGTCCTTCTTACGCTGGGGGCCTCCAGAGATGGATGCAATATTCTGGGTGGGGTCTCACCAGAGCAGAGCAGAGGGGCAGAATCACCTCCCTTGACCTGCTGGCCATGCTTCTTTTGACGCAGCCCAGGATACGGTTGGCCGCTTTGGCTGCAAGCACACATTGCCGGCTCATGTTGATTTTCTCATCAACCAATACCTCCAAGTCCTTCTCCTCAGGGCTGTTCTCAATCCATTCTCCACCCAGCCTGTATTTGTGCATGGGATTGCCCCAGCCCACGTGCAGGACTTTGCATTTGGCCTTGTTGAACTTCATGAGGTTTGCACAGCCTCTCCAGCCTGTCCGGTGCCCTCTGGATGGCATCCCTTTCCTCCAGCGTGTTGACTGCTCCACACAGCTTGGTGTCATCAGCAAACTTGCTGAGGATGTGCTCGATCCCAACATCCATGTCACCAGCAAAGACGTTAAACAGCAACAGTCCCAGTACCAACCCCTGAGGAACACCACTTGTCACTGCTTGCCACTTGGACATGGAGCCGTTGACTGTAATTCTTTGAGTGTGACTGTCTGGCCAGTTCCTTATCCACCGAGTGGTCCACTGGTCAAATCCGTGGACCATTTCCATTTCAGAGACCATGATGTCATGTGGAACAGTGTCAAATGCTTTGCACAAGTCCGGGTAGATGATATCTGTTGCTCTCCCCTTACTCAGCAACACTGTAACACTGTTATAGAAGGCCACCAAATTTGTCAAGCATTTAGGGTAAAAG